ACTCTGTATAATAAGGGCATGGACTCCTGATACGAATACTCTTTCCTTGGTAAAGCATGTTATTTCTAACTATAAGCATCTCCTAAAAGGCAGCATAACTACATGACACAAGTTAGAATGGTTAAGACTGGATTCTGCCAAGAGACGCAATACAAACCAGTTCTGTAAATCAGTCTGAGGAACCGATGAGTCTGACATGTGGTTTAAATTAAAAATAGGAAGCATTATGCGCACAGTTTAAACTCTGTCGCCCAATTGTGAGGTGATCAGCAGCTGAATGAGCTTTAAGTTCTTTGGTTTATACAGGTAAAATGGAGTGTATTTTGTAGTCATTGTTTTACTTTGTTGTCATGGGAAACCTTCGATTTAAGCATTAACATCCTGGAAGTAAACAAGAAATAGCTGATTTGTAGCCATTTACATCAGGATTATGGTGTTTAAAATCTGAACAAACTTGGTATCTACATGTGCTCTTTAAGTACTAGTGAATGTTTTACTTCTCCACCAGGAAATTTTAGTATGCTGAGGTCATTTTAGCATGGGATAAATGGGTAGTTCAGGCTGAAGCTGAAACATTTAGCAGAAGTAACATTTTCCTTCTGTTTTTCCAATTATGCTGGTTTACCCCTAAATTTTAATCTTTTTACTTCATTGTTTTTTTTACCAAAATGTCTGAATTGGCAAACAGCATATTACCTTCATTACAATTTAAATTCACAGATTTGTTAGTAATACCTAACTGGTATAGAATGTCATACTAGCTTTGCATTGAGTAGCTAGATTTCAGGTGCAAAACAAGCTACTGAAATTTGAAAGCATTAATTTAAAAACTTAAAAAATACGTTTACAGAGCTGTACAATTTTATCAAACCCTTGCAAACATTTTAGTGAAAACATTTAATTCTTGTGATTCTATATTGTTGGGCATGACATCTTCATTTTTATTAGTACTGCATATCTTTTCATTGATGTTCAAATTACATTAAAGCTGTTCAAAAAATTTTCATGTCCACAACTTAGGATGTTTTTGAAACACAGAAATACTTAAGATATCTAAAACATTTTATGTTTAAAAAAAAAAAAGCATCATAATTTATGTTTATTTAAAAACTTAGCATGTTTGCAACTTGGGTACCTCCAGAAGAATGCTATGTATGAGAGAGTCAAAATAGGAAATCTCCTCAATCAAAGAGGAAAGGCTCTTTCATTAACTGAATCTTAGTAAGAAAGCAGCCTCATACAGGCCTTCTCAAACACTTAACTCTCAAGCCCCCAGATCCCTGATCACACACTTTCCAGCTCTCCAGTGTGGTGGGGTCTGGCCGTGGCAGGAGCTTTGCCCCACAGGCAGCTCCAGCTGTTGGACCTCTGTGACTTGCGTTCTGGAGAATGGCAACACAGGGTATGTACCGGTTGCTTCGTGTACTCAGGATTTTTTTTTTTTTTTTTTTTTAATTGTTGGGTTGAAGTTAGCATTGCCATTTCTAAAGGAAGTTTTGCTTCAGTAAGAATTGAGGGGAAAAACCCTATTACCTGGTCTTTTATTCCCACAGGGTCTCTTTTCTGAGGAATGTGTATTTTATGTCCTCGCAGCTCATCTCTCTGGCTTCTTGTATATGCATGGGATAGTGCATTGTGACCTGGCTTATGATTTATGTAATGGTTCAAAGGCCTTTTGGATTAGAAGGTCTGTACTGTCTCAGTGGGTTCTTTATCACATACCGTTTGTTTTTCTAAGAAAATAGTTCAGAGGAGGAGATCCAAGATTGAACCGCACAGTGCTTGAGGGTTTTATGAGGTTTTTTCTTTTCTCTTTTTTCCTTTATTTCCCTTAGACAGACTTTACCATCCTCTTACCGTGACATCCAGGCAAAGCTTATTTCCTTCTGTTTCTCCTGAGGCAACACTGTTTCCCCTTAGTCTAATTTCCCAATGTCTCCTGTAACAGCTTCCCTAAATACGTTTCCTTTAGCCACAAGGGCCATTGTTTTTACTGTTTCAAAAGGGTTTGAGAAAAAACTTAGCAATGTGTAGAAGGGGGGCACGGCACAAAACTTGCCAGAGTAGGGCAGAAACAGTTGTGGGGTGTTTTTGTTGTTAAAAGTGTTAGCATTTGTGCAAATCCCCCCTCACACATGAGAGCGCTTGTGTCCTTTACCCAGCAAAACACAGCTCTGTGCTGAGGCAGGACTCCGTAGCTGGACGTCCTCCTCCTGTGGACAGGGCCGTGTCCCCTGGCGAAGCACCTCCTGGTTTAGCAGTGGATGTGCTGGGAGCAAGGCTCCAGGCAGAGCGCCAGGGCACTTCTGCCTTCCTGACCGTGCTCCTCTGCTGTGACCCAAGGCACTGACGCCGCCTCCGGAGGCGCTGCAATCATCACTGAGCTGAGTACCTCGGGTAGCTCCTGATGCGAAAATAAAATAAACCTTTTATTTATTTGTACTGCCTGAGAGGACCCTTAGCATAGTCTGATAGGTCTATTGTTTGCATGAATTACAATCTGCTTGCTTTTCTTTTTGACGTTGGCAGCCGTCACTTCAACAAGAAGCATGTCAGGACATCCCAGTACTAATGTCAGACTGTATTTATTCTGAGTTCTTCTGTGCAAGGTCTCTTTAGAGCCCCTCTCAAATTGCTGCACAGGACAGCTGCTGACTGCCATCTGCATAGATCCACCATGTGGATTGAATGCAGTTCTCAGGAAACGTGCCATTAGCTGAGGCGGCCTCTGAAGGTCTTCATGGGCAGAACTGGTAAGATGGGAAAGCACAGCAGTCTCGCCATGAGATGGATCAGTGGGAAATCTCCAGTCTATGAAGTGGTCAGATCGTATACTCTTGAAGAGCTCAGTGTCGACAGAGTTTAATTTGCATCTTTATCGCATATTGCACCCTTGTTGAAGCTTCTGGAGAACTGTATTTGGGGAAGCGATCAGCATCCACTGACTTCCAGAGCAGCTTGCAGATGAGGGCACTAGCCAGACACTGCATATGGTGGTACGTAGGTGTGCGAGTGAAGGAGCGTGAGCATATGCCCGCAGCGGTAGCTGGAGGTGGTGGAGCTGTCAGCTGGTGCCTGCTGCTGCCTGGCCCTCCCGCCTGCTCCTGCCTCCCTCCCTCCTCCGAGAGGAGGCCGACAGCAGGAGCTGTGCCACCCTCCAGCATTCGTCCCTGCGGAGCACAAGAAAGGGCAGCACGTGCATCTGCCATATGGCAGGAAGCGTCAGTCAGGGTGCGATAGACGTGTACGTTAGGCACAGAAATCATGCTTTCTTCAAACAGCTGGTTTTAGCATGGGTTAAGACTTGTAAATCATTCTGGATCTGCCAAGTACTAACTAAGAATTAAGTACTGTTGGAGTACTTTTTCTTAGCATTCATTTGTGCTTTCTTGAATCTTGACTATGTCTTGTATCTTCTGTGTCTCTCTTGAAATTTATTTATAGAGAACAAAAATGTATCTGTTGGAGGTTTTTTCCTCCAGAGGAGTTCATAGTTTAAACCAGTGTCTTAAATGCTGCCTTATGTTAAAACGCAGCTCACATTAAATCCATGCATGACTCATTGCAAAGTGTTTGGATTCCCCCCCCCCCCATAACATTTAAACGTCCTCTTGTGTTTCAGAAGAAATCCTTAAGACAAGTTACTGGGGAGGAAAAAGGCAAAGTCTCTAGCAGAAGTGTTGGATTAGACACAGCAACTTCTCGCCCTGTAGAAATGGGACAACCACCTGATGAGTTTCACCTGTCTCCTTCTAAACAATGTTGGATCAAGGAGGGATCCTCCCAGTATGGAGGCTTTCCAGGATTCAGCAGCAGTGATGGAGTATTAAGGGAACTGGATGATGGACAATTTGACCAGGAAGATGGAGTCACTCAGGTCACGTGTATGTGATAAAGTAAGTAACTGCATCAGATGGACATGTACATAATTCACACAAATGTGGGGTTTTTTTTTAAAAAAAAAAATGATACTACTTTAAATGCATTGGTATAATCCTATGACTTTTCCCAGACTCATTTTGTATTTTTGTCTGTTTCTTTGTTGTGTTAGTCCTACTGTAGTAATAATACTACTGCAAAATAATTTGGTTTTCTGTCTCTCTTTAATAGAATAACTACGTGACTGGGTGCTCCGCTAGCTTGTTAATGCTTTTGACAAGCAAGGAAGCAAATGCTGCAAAACAGTGGCAGTTTGAATTGTGTAAGAGGGAAAGGAATGAGGGATGTTTAGTATTTTCCACAAGCTGGAGGAGTGTTTATTTTCTTTTTTTTAAAGGTGTTTGTAAATATTGGTGGGGGAAAAAAAGAAAAATTAATTATCTGGCTGTTAAGTTTTAAAGTAGTTTTCACTTTACTTCCCTTGCATAAATTCAAAAGCCTGGAAAAATGTAGGTCTTACACTAGAGTGTTAGTAATTTAACCTATGTTCAGACTTGGTATGTACAGAAAACCACTGGAGGCAGACACTTGCTCCTGTAATATAATTTCACCTATGCAGGTTTTACCAGGGTTCCTTGTACGTCTACACCAAAAGCTATCTGAGCATACAGCTTGTATAATGATGTATTCATAATTTACTCATGAGTGGAAATTAAGAACCATTCACCCTCTGAAAGATAACTTGCAGTCTATAAAAAAGTAGTTTGAGAAACTCGCCAAGAAGCGTTGACAGCAATGTGCACAGTGGTGCTGATAATATATAGGAGGAGGAATTAGTAGGCTAAACTTAATAGGCAACATTAGATGATAGACTATATACAAATATGCTGATGTATATATAAAAATTTTCTCAGCTAAATGTATCTCACACTGGGTAAAGTGTATTCAACTGCATCAAATACCAGAAAGAATGTTCAGAGGAAAGGATGAAGCTGCTGTGCTTCTGTCCTCACCGTAGGGAGGAGCTGCTTGCGTTAAGGGAGGCTGACACGGGCAGGGCTCTGTGGGGAGAGGCACGAACAGGAATGATTTTTATGCTGCTGTCTTGAAATTACATTTTACAGAGGAGAATTCGAATAAAAATGCATCTCCAAAAGATAAATGTGATCATAACTAAAAATTGCATTTTTCAGTTAGTTTTAGAAGCAAAAGCTATCAGTGCTCGTCACACTTAAGCTAATGCAAAGTAATTTGATCAAAATGAGAAATCAGAACAGAACTGAGCAAATGTATTCACGCTTCTCTCGGTGTTTGCAGTACAGCACACACATCACCCAGGGATGCTGATACCTGTCTCTGTGTGGTGTACTGCAAACACTGAGAGCAATGTTGTGAATACATTTAACTACACCACCCCGCCCCCCTGGCGTGGTATCCCACCAGCTGCCGTGCGAGTCCCCCTGTGCACAGTGGTAGATGCTGGCACTAAATGCAGTGGGCAAATCACTGACTCCGGACGAGCACCCCGGGAGATGACCAGGGTGGTGGAAGTCAGACTGCGATCTCTGGCGGGAAGCTGTGCGGAAAGAACACTGGCAGAAGCTGCTTGGTTCATTAAGCAAAAAGTAACTCATGAAAGAAAAAAGTTATTACTTGCTATGATAAGCAAAAGTAGTAATTTCAGTTTATTTTTACAGGGGGAACAACCCTTTCTGCTTGCATGGTTGTCATTGTGGGAGCTTGAAATTATTATTGCTTTGGAGCTGCTTCCCAATTTCATTAAAAAATTGTTGTAGGCAGGCTTGTTTATTTTTCACTTTGGAAGAACAACTCTTAACAACTGTTTGTAGCAGGTTTGGTTTTTTTTTTTTTTTTCCCCAAAAAAAAATTCCACAGCCCTGGAGCTGGAGACATTCCTTCAACAACTTTTTCCTATTGCACATTGCTGAAAAGGGCAGCTTCTATTTCCTCACTTGAACTTCTTAAGGAAAATGCTGGCAGCCTGGCAAAATAGTTCTGAATTGTGACTGTTTGAAGAGCCAGATACGTGCCAGTAGGGCAGCAGGAGGACTGTGCAGCCCGCGGGGAGCGGTGGCAGCGCAGCGGTGCCTGTGACAGCAGGCACGGTAAGAACTCCGTGCTTGCCAGGGCTTCTCTCCCTGCTTTCCCACCAGCATCTGAAGCTCACCGACGTTGGGGCACGAACCTGGCGCTCATTCCCTGTCTGGGGGGGATCCTGTGGAGGAGCAGTGCCCCGCTAACAGGGAGAGTGCCGGGCTGGGTGTTCCCCGCAGAGCCTGGCCCAGCCGCTGCTTTCTCACGCAGCCCGCTACTCTGAGCAGCGGTCGTGGTGGTGCAGTAGCAGGGATCTCCTCCGTGGTACGCAGATGTGGGGAAAATGATGAACGGACACGTTACAGCTGTCTCTGGCGGAAAGCCAAGTAACCCTACCATATTAAAAATGGGGCAACAGCTGGTCTTGTGCAACTTGGAATACGTTGCTCTACTTCTAAAAGTATTTTTCACGAGTTATCCAAAACTCTCTGTGTGCGTGTGTGTAATTTTAACTACTGGTGGTTCTCTATACAAGTCAAACCTGTAAAATCTGCAAAAGTTGGTCAAAAATCCTAGGAATTCTGAATATTCCAAGTTAAAGCTTTTAAAGTATATCAAAGAAATTACTGACCTTTTATAAAGTAGTATCCCTGCTTAAGACAGTGAACAGTAGTGAATCCTAAAACAAAACTATTTACCTAACAAGTTACAATGTATAAAGTACTAAATGGAATGCAGTTAATCTTCCTAGAGTACACTTGTTGGCTAAAAAGAATAATTTAACTTTTAACCAAGATCTTTTTGTATCAGCTGTTGAGAATGCAGAAAATTCAAATAAATTAGTAGCTTTTTAAAAGAACTTTTCCCCTTACGATTAATGGGATGTACACAAGGGATATTCTGTTTTGGAACAAAGGTAGAAATTGAGTACGCTCTGGATGTCCACAGCTACACTCTAGAACATCCCTGCTTTTAGCAAGAAAGGGTTTTCTTAAAATGAAATAAAGCCATATTCCTTTTCAGTAGCCCACAGTTTTAACTGTGCTTTAGTCCTTGCTCTTGAATCTCCCAAGTGTTGACTGTGCTGCAAACCTCTGTGAATGACTTGCTCATCTTTTTAATTCAGTGTAAATATGCTAAATTGCTTCCTCTGAACCCACTCAGCAACTCCTAGATAGTAAAGGACAGCTGGTGTGGGGGTGTTTTGTGGTGGTTTTTTTTTTTTTTAAATGCCATTTGTTTCACAGTATGTAAAGTTGCCCCTGCTGTAGAAACATTAATCTAGATAGTTTTCCTAGCTCTCTATTAGTCTTTCACCTCATAGGGCTACATTTAGGCTCTGTATTGGAAAGAAAATAAATAAAATGCAATTGTTTACCTGGGGAAAAAAGTCAACCTGACAGGAGCCAAGACAGAGATCTGTAAAGTGAGTGGCGTGGAGAGAGTAGCAAAAGAAAAAAATTCTTCAGCATTCTTTTTTTGATACAAGAACTCAAGGGAACCATGAAGTGGTAAGTAGCACGTTTGAAACAAATCAAGGTATCTGTTCAGCTAACCGTAGAACTCCTTGCTGCAGGATGCTGCGTATGAAGCTACATCGATTTAAAAGGTGACTGAAAAATTCCCAAAAGGATAAAAATTGCCCTATTCTCTCTGAAAGTCACGGAACCAGAAACTGTTGGAGACTGTGAAAGCTGGTGTGTCTGACTGCATGCTTATCCTGTTCTTTAGCTTATTGTAGGCACCAGCGCTTCATCCCCGATGGGCATACAGCCTTGCAGCAGGAGAACACTCTCAGCTTGCTTTAGAAAATCAGGGAGAGTAAAGTTGCTTGCTCAGCCTGTGTGAGACTGTGCAAGAATTATCTGACTTCATGCACTAGTTGAAGAACACAGAATAAACCACCCGTCTTCCTAGGGCCTGGATGCTGAAATGGAAATAACTGAAAATGCTTCGAAAATGATGGAAAATCTTCTATTTCTTTCTTTGTAGTTAAAAAAATCTTAAACCCAGCTATATCTTACATGGAAAAGTGAAGAGGAGAGGGTGTATTTTGGGTATAGAAGATTCTAATTTGAGCTTTTTTCATCAAAATTACAAACTAGAGCATTAAGGTATGCCTTTATTAGTGTTGTGACCTGTGCTGTCCATTAATTAAACTAAGTTTGTAAATCAGAAGAGCTGTCAGAGTAACTCTGGCATGATTTTTTTTTTGTATGCTTCTATTTTACACATATATGTACACACACTGTTTTGTTTTCATTTTACCAGAATGTATTTTACATACTCATCTTTTTATTGAAAGAATTGCAAATCAAACTTAAAGCATGGGTGCATTCTCTGACAAAAAAAGTACTTACTTATTCAGTAACAGGGCTTCAATTAGGAGCCTGTGTGCCTGTAGTAGAAAAGTCCCTTACCTGTATGTGACAACACAAACGCCCTGCAGCTATTAAAAAGAACAGAGATAGAAGGCAACCAGGGCTGTTCATGAACTTCTGCAAAGGACCATTTATACTTTCTGATTCTTAACTTGTTTGGAGAGGAAATACTTTTCTAGTGTTTACAAGCAGGGAGAAACTATCTGCTGTGCAAAAAAAAAAAAAAAAAGTGCTTGTAATTGTCAGAAGAGTTTATTTACATAGCTGGTCAACTGCTTAACTTCTGTGTTTCTGGTCTGTAAAATACTGTTTTGTTTTTGTAAAGCTAAGATCTTTTCTATATTTCTGACAGGAAGCTTCTCACCATTAAAAGCACTTACCAAATCAGCTACCAGTTTCTCTGTTTGCCTCACACTGACATTAAATGGGTTAGATCCATGTAAGCCTTTCCTCAAGCTAGCACTACTTTTTTGCAGTCTTGTCTGTACATCCATCCAGCTCACACAGCAAAACTTATTAGACTTACATCCATCTAGTAAAAGCTGATTAGTTTTTCCTTGTTCTTAGTATATTAATCTTTTGAAGGTAAAAAGTGCAGGTTGCTGTCTTGACAATTCCCTACAGCTTAATTTAGAGAGTAGTGTTAGTTAGGATTTAAGACTTTTCAAAGCCAGATTCCTGTATCAGAATTTCGACAACTGGTATGAATTAAAGAAGTGAACATTCCTGACTTCAGGTAAGAGACTAAGTGGTTTAGAGGAACTGCTCTGGTGACATGTTCCGATCTGTTTAAGCAGATGAACTTTGAGAGAATTAAAATCTTAAAAGAAAAGTGGCAAAATCACCGTAGCTAACTTGCTGCAAGACATGCTAAGCCAAACATCAGGAGAAACCTCAGTGACTAAGGAAGAAGTCATCTGAAAGTTATCCTTTGCTTACAGTATGCCCTTGCGTCTCTGATGTGCTGTCGCCGTGTGCTTAGTTTGGGGTCTGAAAGGTCCTCTTCTAGATCTCCCTTACTTTTTAATTGTAGAACCATCATCTTCTGATTTGAGATGTATAAATTTGAGGTCTGACTTTGAGATGCTAACGAGTATGGTATTTTTCTACTTTTGAAAGAGGAAATAAAACTTCACGTCAGCACACCTTGTAGCAGAGATAGGAGAGCACCAAACTTTCTCTTGGACGCACTCAGTTGCCTACGTTCTTGGATGAGATGAAAAATGAGAATCACTTACCAAAATATAGCGGTATGGATAAAGAAACAGTTTAATTTTATCCTTTTTTTTTAACAATATAATTCAAAGACAGTCTTGATTTCCCTATTACGTAGAATCTAAATTAAACCTGTTAATATTTATTAGACAAATCAATGGTTTGCTTAGGCTAACTGAAGTTTTATGGTACCATTCAGGCACATGTGTGTACACAGTACTCATGTAAACAACAGCAAGGGAAAATACAAGCAGTGTTTCACTTAGGCCTTATATAAAATCAGCTTAGTACAGCAAGTCAACTTTACAGTGCAAACTGGAATGAGAATAAACAGGATCAAAACTTCCCGAGTTTTGTTTTGAAGTGAAACTCTTAAAGCATAAGAGGAAGAGAAGAGGTTTGAAATTTTAATGCAGTCCTGAGCACCACATCGCTTTCTTCAATTTTGTAGAGGAAATGCAGTTAGCAACACCAGTTCCATGTTTTTTGCCTGTCTCAGTCACCGTGGCCAATACAAGCATGCAGAGTGACTGTACAAAGAACCACACCGTGGATGGTCCGACAGCAGACTGTAACAAAAACTAAATACATTTTACTACCTCCAGAATACAGTCATCCTACCTGCAGTACACACTTCAAGACACCTATCAAAAAAAATCAAGTAACCTGGTCTATACAAGGCAAGTTACAGCTAAGTGTACAGACAGTAACTAAAGCTACTTTCACTCGGACATCTCATGCAATTACCCTGCTGGCAATTAAATACAATGATAAACGTGAGACACAAAGAGCTCCTGAAGAATACAGCTGTTGAAGTACTTAAGCTTAGTCTCTCTTTTCTCATTGTTTAAATTCCCTTTACATCCAGGTGGTACAGTTGCTTGAGGTGTGCTTGATTCATATAAAGAAAAATAGAATTTAAGGCATGTTTAGTATATTATGAAAAAAGACTTATTAAAAATAGGTGGACTCCCTTCTTTCCAAGTAAGTACAACTTGGAAAACAAAGCGTAGATTACAGAAATGAGCTGAGTTAGCCTGTTCTGACCTGCTTAAAGAAATAAAAAGAGGGCCCCTGGCGACCTCAGAGAGAAACAACCAGCAAACTTGTTAAACAGCTAAGCAAAAATTCATTTAACGTAAGAACGCTGCTAGTGCTTTTAGACCCTGCATTCATGCACGCTTAGCAGTATGTCTGCTATATTCATCTCTCAAATATGTAATTCTGTCATTCTAGACATTACACAATTAAGCAGCACTCATGGAAATTGTCAGTTATTGCAAATCTGCAAACACAACTTGAAATAAACATCGGATGGGGAACAGAAGCATGAATCCAAATCTTTCTGTCAAAGAATTTAATTCAGGTGCATGAAAAAAACCAAACTGAAGTATGTTGAAAATATGATTAATTCTTGCAAAGAATCAGGTTCAATATTTCAAGTACTTAGAATGTTTTTACTAGGAATACAAGCAAAGACTGTGCTAGCGTGTTATGTAGTGTAACATGACTATTTACGTGAGGTATACTCTGTAAGCGGCTGCCATAAACATGCGCAGGCATAAATAAGCCATTGACTTTTCTGCCACAGCTATTCTTTAGAGAAGTTGTGGACTGGAGAACAGCAGAAGTCTGCCTCAACAGGACAGCGCCTGTCCCCTGCTGCGCACAAACCTCCGCTGTTAACAAAAAAACAAGTCCAGAAAGTATGTCAGATGTGTATCAAGAATATATATGTTCAATAGCATAATGAAATTCTCCTTTTGGTATTACTAATGCTATAGACCCTATTAGTATTTGGATATACGCATACAGGAATATGCACATCCAAAAGTAAATCTTCAAAGCCATCTTAAAAAAATAAAAGCTAAATTAGGAATAAGCTACCTTGCAAGAAGCTACCTGCAGAATTATATATTTTAGGTGATAATCTTTGAACTAAGACTTAATAATACAGCTACTGGATTAAAAAATGGCTTGCTGTGAAATCTTAAATCTCACTTTTTTCCCACCCAATCAGACACATCTTCAGGATTGTGATTCAATGATTGTTTAGCAGCAGTTTTAGAGAACTGTAAATTCTTTTATTAACAGGCATTATAAACAGATGCTACTACTTTTATTTAAAAACCATGAGTGCCACATTGATGAATATACAGTTCATGAATAACTTAAAGTATTTCCCATATTAAAAGGCAATGCACACAGCATACAAAAAGTATACTAAACAAAGCTATGAGGATACGTGATTGAAGTGTCTAAAATGATATATACAGTACATAATTAATGTTTTGTTTATAGTCAGTACAGGCCTCTGTACTGCCATTCCCATCATGCTTCGCTCTCCCCTGACACTGAATTCTGCACTTCTTCTTCCAAAATCGGTACAATCAGGTTATCCTTGGACATCAGATTATACTTCATCACAAATTTAGTGAACCGGTGACACAAGAAAGTTTCATTCTGGAGATGAAAAAGGGGGAAAAAAACAATATATACAGAAGGAATATTTTAAACAATTGAGGAGAACATATTAAAAAAAAACCACCACCTGCTTATATGTAATTGTCTCATTAGATTTACAAGTCTTAGAAAGAACTAGTAATGCTTAAATGGTAAATTTATATTACTTTCAAGTCTTTCCTTTACTGCTTGCTTATAGTTACTGCAATTAACAAAAAACCCTACTGAAGTTCAGGCTTAAGTCACAGCTCAATTCAACAGCCCTTAGACAAGAATATATTCAAGTATCAATGTAGTCCTGATCCACTCTCCAAAGGAGAATTTTAAGGTATTGTGAAACTCCTCCTACATACACTATCCCTAACAGAATGGGGCACAACCATTCCATAGCTGTTCCAGCAGCCTTAAGTGGGATTTGGCAAAGGTTTCCTTTTACATCCAGCTGTACCCCTTATCTCCTTTCCATCTATTAACTTCTATTTTGCCATTTAAAAAAAAAAAAAAAAAGTTGGAAATTACTGGAGGTGCACAAGCTGCCACCAGTTACTGTTCTTTGCAGTTTACAATTACAATGCCTTAACTGTTAGGTAACATATACAAACAGGAAACATATATACATAAGCAGTACTAACAACACCAAGTGCTTGAATACATTCAGGAACCTTTAAAACAAGATGAATTTGAGTTGTTTGTACAGAAACTCTCAAATTCTGACCTTTTATCCAAATGAAGGGAAACCGTAACTGGGTAAACTAATTATATAAATTAATTTTCATTTATATATATATGTATGTGTAACAGCATTTCAGTTCTTATAAAACTGCTAATCTACTATAATCAATACTTTCACTTGAATGCAGATCTTCTAGTAGGGTTAAAAGAAAGCACGTAATATAATTCCATCACAGCTATAACTTCACTAAATGCCCTTCTTTCAAGATATAATTTGAAACTACTTACCTCATATTCATCAAATATCTGCCGATGATGAAAATAAGCATGTGAAAATATTCTGTAAATCCTTCGGCACACTGATCCTAATTTGGCTACAGAGGATTCCTTTATGCTAACCCTGTAACCACCAGGAGAAAGGTTAAAACGGGTCTCCCAAAATGACTACTGAGATACATGCTGACATGAATTCTGATGGTTAAACTATACGATATGATTGCATATGAAATTTAAACTTAAGTGTTGCAGATATCTGTGTCTGCAATTGCTTATTTTTGCAAGGAAGATAAAAATGTTGGTGCATACTCCACATTTAAAAATTGTGCTCTGACTACAAAAACAGTTTTGTTCTAGTTAAACATCAGCAGTTATTCTGGTAAGGGCTGGATTTCTGGTTTCTAGCATTGATGGGCAAAGGAAAAAAGACTTCCAGTTGTACCTCCTTGCCAATACTGTATTGCTGGAGAAGCACAATTTTCATTTCTCCAGTTAGGTTTCCATGATCCATGTGGGCTGCCCATTCAAGACACTCGGTCTCCGTCTTCCGTGGTCACTGATGTCCCACAGTAGACTGGTGTTGGCTTCTGGAGGCTTTCAGTGGTGTAGTGTTTAAGTCCTTTGAGTCACTGCATCTCTCTCAAGGCCATCCTGTTACGTAGGTTGGCACTACTCCAATGGAAGCCCCATAACACCAACAACAGATACTAGTAAACCAGTTTCCACCTAAAAAGCACCCGTCGGCTCCAGTAAATGGCAAACTACTTGACTAGGGAGGAATTCTTCCCTGGCTTAAAAGTGACAATAGCTCTACCAACAAGTGACACATGCTGCAGGATTTCTGATGTTTTCAGCTGTAGTCCATGAAAAATGCGTTGCGCATTTCCATGTGCTTTGTAAGTGTTTGGGTGCCACCTACTCCCTCCCTCTCTCCCTTGTCCCAAAAGACAGCAATTTTACCTGCTGGGGAAATATTTATTGCTATTCAGAAGACATGCAGCTCCATCAAGCGTGTGTCTGGTGTAGTCTATAGCAGGACACTACAAAAATAGACAGTGAGTGAGCACCTGTATGAGTGCTTGCATGGCATTGTCATAAAACTTGTTTAAAGAAAAACATTTTAATTATGTTCCCTGCTGCTTTTAACTTCACTGGTGATTTTTATTCCCAGAAATTTCACATAGCTTCTCTGAAGGTCTAACTACATTTCCTCCTTGAGCCATTTCTTTTCTCTTTTTCACAACCCATGTAAATTATTTCAAGGAAAAAAGTTACTATGGAAATGCAATTATGCACATCAGCGGTGAATTTTATCCATCTCCTTCAATAAAGCTGTATAATAAGAACATATACTGGAAGTACACTGAAAGGAAAGACGATCATTACCTCACAGTTCACTTGTTTCCCACATAGTCAAGCTGCCAGACTCCTTTTTTTAAAGCCTAAATTAGCACCTTCTCAAAAACACTCACAACCCCCC